CTAAGGGCTAAGGACTAAGTATTCATTTATCATTTTAAGTCTCTGGCTACTTGCTGAATCTTGTTCACTATCGAAAATTGTTTTACGTTTTGTTTCTATCTTTGATTAAAAAAAAAAAAATTCATTTCCACTTTTCCCAGGTTGTTTAATAAATAAGTATCGCTCTGGATTAGCGTGATTTCAATTCTTTCAAACAAACACCGATGCAGAACGGGTTTAAGTTTCGTCTACAGAGGATGGACAATAAGACATTGGGGAAAGAGGGGGGGAGGGGTGATCATGTTGCATGCCAGTAAAATGTTCCTTAAAAATGTATAGTTTGATCTGTTTGGACGTACCGTTATGACAATCCTTCTATATAGTCTGTCTTTTTCGCTTGCAGCATTTTACGATCTATGTACGTTTTTGGGGCATCGCCTCCTAAAATTAGTTACGTCATGAGCGAACTCAGATATTATGCTTCCAAAAATGTATTTGAATTTTCAGATCAATATTACAAGAAATAAACAGGTGCATGTTTGTAAAAAGTCTGAGTATGTTGCTCTTGGAAAAAACATAACAAACATTCTTCTGTCGGCTGTCATTTCGCTCTTTCGTTGGCATCGATTTAATTTCAGTGAATTCTGTATTCATTAAACATAGCTTTAACTCAGGAAAAAAATACGAAAATGATAAATGTCAAGATACCAAACTCTGCAACACAGGCAACATTGTGCTGTGCGGAACGTCCTTTGATCACAGCACAATTCCAGTGTTCATAGAATAGTAATTCCCCTCCCCCCCCCCAAAAAAAAATACCCATTCACATCTGACTCCCAGTATTTCCACGAACAAGTTCTGTAGCCTCGAGTCACAATAATCATGTCAGCCAAAGAATGAGATTGCTTAAAATCAATATTCCTACATACTAACTTACGTACTTGCGTGTGTGCGTACCTTCATGCGTGTGTGCGCGTGTTTGTGTGTGTGTTTGTGTGTGTGTGCGTGTGTGTGTGTGTGTGTGTGTGTGTGTGTGTGTGTGTGTGTTACTCTCTGCGTACATTCATTTGTACATACGTAGGCGCGAAGAACAGACAGACGACAATGATAGAATACGATGAAACAAAAGCAAAATCACATTTTTATTGGTATGGCAATGGTATTTCTGTCATTTTTAGGGATGCCATATGTTGATGGATTTCAGTAATATTATAGTTTTAGTCGTTGCGATTTGATTCAGTTTTTCAGCTATCCGGTTTCCTGTTTAAAACCTTCGAGCTTCGGGGAAAAATATAATATCTCACTGTGTGTTAGACCTTTTACAATAGCCCAAGCAGCCTCAGGTCACGACATCCGAGCCACATGGAGGTCTAAATGAGGCATGATTAGACTGTTTAGTCAGAGCAAAGGTCAGCGAAATGTGTCCAAATCAAACTTTGTATTGACCAACCTGGCTCAGATTGTCTTTACCAACTGTAAAGAAAGGAAACTCATATAATTATTATTGATGATTTGTCTTGTTTAAGGGATTTTTGTTTACAGAAAGATCCAGGGCATACAACATAAAATGCGAACCAAGGAAGAGACATATAAAATACAGTTACACATTCGCAGGCGGGCCACGTGCGGCGGCCTGTTTTATGTAATGGTTTATGGTTTTGCTCGAGGAAGTTCCCCAATAGATATTAAAATTTGCTTTTACTTACGTTTTTCTGTCCTCTTGTACCGTATGACATCAAGGCGTGAATTACATGTTATTGTCAATCCTAGGCCAGGTGTGTTGTTGTTTGGATCGTCGTGTTGCTCATGTAGAGGATCCCTTTGACTCCGTCGATCCATTTTGTTTTCGTCTTCCTCTTGCTTTGAATCGATTTGATCTCATGTTTAAGTCCTTCAGGGCTGACTGTTGGGCCCCATTCCTTAAGGTAACATAGGAGATGCCCTTTGACAAACAGTCACTCATTGATGAGTACATATCGTTAAAAAAAATTATACCTCCATTACCTAATAAAGGTGTTAATTGTGAAATGGTAATTCTCTCCGACACATCACTCAAAAGGTGTGAGTTCCATTCCCTTATGGGAAAATCTGTTTTGTAGAGAATGGCTGACTTTCTCCTGGGAAGCTTTACATCACACAGTTGGCTGTCTGGAAGTGTCAGTTCTGCCTCTGAGACCTCTGTGTGTGACGTGCAATGATTTGTCATTCACGTTGGTTGTCAGATGCTCTTGTGTACTGTTCCAAGAATAAAGTTGTCCATGGCTTTATGTTGTTAAAACATAGATCTAGCAGTCTCTACCTTCCTACCGTCCTCGTCCCGTGCAGCGTAACTTCCACCAATTTCTTTTTGAAGTGTGCGGTGTCTCTTTAAGGGGACATAATGCTAGTTTTAATGAGTCCGCCTCCTAAATAATCTATAGTGTGCGTGGTCGGAGAAAATATCCACAGTGAATTCAATCAAATAGTTAAAGCAGCCTTGCGTTCTCTGAGACATCAAATCACAGCTCAACAAAGTAAATTATAATACTGGGTGAGAAAAAAACAACGGTATGGAACATTTCCTCACAACACACTCATTTCGTACGTTTCGCACAAGGTACGGAAATAATGTTAAAATGTCCTTAAGGCCTTCTTTGATGTCAAGGGTGGAAATGGTCCATCAGTTAGGACCTTTAGAGAATCAGAACTAAAAATTCCTAGACAAAACAACCACTTCAGGTCAAACACATATTGTTAAAAAACACACACACACCCCTTTAAACGTCCCAAGGGTGCAGAATTCAGTAGATGAACCCCATGAGTCGTCTGTCCGTAGACAATGTCTTCAGCAATGACTTTCCTACATCTCAACGGTCCGCATTCTCAAGGCAGATTTTCGTCTACGATTAACATTTTTTACTTCGCGAAGCTATCAGAGGATAGTTATTTGTTCATGATTTCTCGATCGTCTTGAAAAGCGTGAACATTTCCTCTAT